AAAAAAAAAAAGGCATTGATATTAGCTGAATTTAATGTCCTCCTCCCTTTCTATCCCTGCTACTGCTCATGTTCTTTCCTTTCCATCCCCCTTGCACAGCCTTATGGAGGTAAAATCAACAGATGATAAAATGCACATATTTAAAGGGAACAGTTTCATATGTGTGAACAAGTGTTTGCACATGTGGAATTATCACCGTAATCAAGATGGTGCACATTTCCATCACCCACACATTTCCTTGTGCCTGTGGGTCATACACACTTCCCTTCTGCTGCTAGACATGAATGTACGTTTTCTAGAATTTCGTGTAAATAGAATCATACAGTATGTATGTTTTGTCTTCCTTACTCTGCATAATTGTTTGCAAGTCCTGTTGTGCGTGTCAACAGTTCAATTATATTGCTGAGTAGTGGAAGTAGTCGTATCCCATGGTGGGTTACACTCTACTTGGTTTACTCCTTCACCCGCTGAGGGACTTCTGGATTTCTCTGGTTTCTGTCTGTTACAAAAAATGCCGCTATGAGTGTTTGTGTACAAGTCTGTGAGCGGATGTGTGCTCTTCCCTTCCCTCGGGTAAAAACCTGGGAGTGGAATGGCTGGATCATGTGGTAGGTGAATGTTTAACTGTTTAAAACTGTTTTCCAAAGTAGTTGTACTATTTTCAAACTTCACCAGTAATGTAGGAGACTTCTCTTTCTTCCACATCTTTCCCAACACTTGGGATGGTCTTTTTATTTTTATTTTTATTTTTTTTTAAGATTTTATTTATTTATTTGACAGAGAGAGACACAGTGAGAGAGGGAACACAAGCAGGGGGCGTGGGAGAGGGAGAAGCAGACTCCCCACTGAGCAGGGAGCCCGACGTAGGGCTCAATCCCAGGACCCTGGGATCACGACCTGAGCCGAAGGCAGACACTTAATGACTGAGCCACCCAGGCACCCTTGGGATGGTCTTTTTAATTTTTAGCCATTGTAATTGGTGTAGACTGGAATTTCATTGTGTTTTAAATTTGTTTCTTTTCTTTTTTTTTATTTTTAAATTTTTAAAAATTTATTCTATTTTTTTAAAAGATTTTATTTATTTGAGAGAGAGTGCACATGCATGAGTGGGGATATGGGGAGGGGGGCGGCACACTCCCTGCTGAGCAGGGAGCCTGACATGGGGCTCCATCCTAGGACCCTGGGATCATGACCTGAATGGAAGGCAGCACTTAACTGACTTGGCCATCCAGGTGCCCCTCTTCTTTCCAGGACTCCGATTTCATGACGTGAGCTCAAG